TCTATTTTTCTGATTTTATAAAATTATAAAAACTATTTTTTGTATTTTCCAGTATTAATCAAATGGTAATATAGGAAAAAATTGGTATAAAGAAGGCAAAGGTTATTTTGCAAAACTAATTCAATGATAATCGATTTAGCAAAATTACCAATAATATTTGCCTTAATAAGATTCTCTCGATAATCTCTACCAATTCGTTTCTTCATCTGCGATTTCACAATAGAACTAATTCCAAACTAAATAAATTGGTTGCGTGTGTGTACGAAGTACAATTAATTGCTCGTTTAAATCGAAAGTTAAATTCTGTGATACTGGAGAATTCATGTGACTTATCAGCTTAAAGGCCTTAAACTGTGATAATATTCCATGTCCTATATATTACTGGAGAATTCATTATAATGAAAATAAAAATTATATGGGTTGTATATCGAAAAGAGAGATGTACATTTTGCATGTATAGAGAGACAGAGACGCATGTGTAGATAATTACAGATAAAATGAAATAGTAATAAGAGTAGTAGTGGAGATAGAGACAAACCCGTGATTGTCGTTGGTGACAGAAACTAGTAGCAATATTTTCTTCTCGTGTCTCTCAGTGAAGACAGCCCAGCCAAGCACCTTTTCACTTCTGTCTGATTCCTCTCTCTATGTTCTCTCTCTCTAGCAAAGAAGAGGTTATGCTTTTGGGTTTCTTCTTTTTCTGGTTTCACAGCTTTGGCTTTGAAGTCACGAGCCCATCCCCCTAACCATCCCCTTTTTATTTATTTTTATGCTTTTGTAGTCAATTTAATTTATGAGTTGTAACGATTGAAGAAGTTGCATTTATCTAATTAATGTGTATGCCTCATTAATGTTGCCTTCTTCCTATATTGCAAAAGCTAGTTCGAATGGAACAAAAACACGTATTATATCCAGTGAAAACATAGATCATTTCAATTCGTTATCAATTTGATTAGAAATAAAAATTAATAAATCCTCACACCATATACATTTTAGGTCATCTTGAACCTAGACTTGAGTCATTAAAATCGGTATTATAACAAAGGGAAAACATATTATTATTTTTACAGTGGAAATGAAAACATTATGAATATTTACACAAATCTTTTCTACTCCTAGGAGTTTCTTTTTAAAATATATTTTATGAAGTCAGTCACTAATGTTTAATGGAAGTAAAAGTACTATTTTTGTCATGAGGTGTAATTCTAGATCTATCTTTCCCTAAGATATATATAAAAACTATAGAAAAACATTGTTTTGAAGAAAAACTATATATTAAATAGAATTTAGAATATCCGTTGCCATCATATACATATATTTCAACATATATGTAGAATTG